AAATCTGGGTTACCTTATTATTATTATTATTATTATTATTATTATTATTATCATCATTATTTTGAGGAGTCTCACTCTTGCCCAGGCTGGGGTACAGTGGCACAATCTCAGCTCACTGCAACCTCTGCCTTCCAGGTTCAAGCGAGTCTCTTACCTCAGTCTCCTGAGTAGCTGGGATTACAGGCGCCCATCACCAGGCCTGGCTAATTTTTATATTTTTTCATAGAAACAGGGTTTCAGTATGTTGGCCAGGCTGGTTTCAAACTCTTGACCTCAGATGATCCGCCTGCCTCAGCTTCCCAAGGTGCTGGGATTATAGGTGTGAACCACTGCACCCAACCAAGTCTGGGTTACTTTAGAAGCTAAGAATACACTTGTGGATGAACTATCCTCCAGTGTCCTCTATCCCTTGGGAACTTAGCTCAATTACGACAGCCTGATCAGAATATAAATTGAGGAAAATAAAGCTTGACATAGTTTTTGAACTTAGACTGTCTAAATAATGATGTAGTGGGGCAACTACTATGTTTAGGAAAGTCAATTTACCAAAACAGAGGAAAGGGAGTTTTAAAAAATGTCATGCAATTATCGTCTTCCATTAGGTTCTAAGATACCACTAAAAGGTGTGCCATTATTTTTTGAACCCCTATGAACGAAAAAACTGCTAATAGCAAATTATGATTGGGAGACACAATTTGATTGAAACGTTACATTTAAAAAAAAAGTGTCATAGAACTGATGCAATATGGATTATATATACTTTATCTTTTTGTGGTTTGTATGTTATAAATCTTAAAGAAAATAAGAGTTATTATCCTGGTGAAAGTAGACTAAACAGTCCAAGTTACCTTGACAGATACATCATCATGGCAGAGTGCAGTTTGCTATCAAAGTTTCATGATACCATCTTCTGTGATCATATTCATCTAATTCTATGCTCATCAAGCAAGTAAATTGGTGTTCCTAGCACCCTTCTCTGCAGAGAAGGAATGTGCTGACCAGTCTGCTTGAATATTCCATTATGCTTGGCAGTCAAAAATTTTACTGTAAATTAATATATCAGCATTTGATTTACTCATTAGTTTCTTACACATTTCATCTATCTGAGCCTAACCAACTCTGGTTCAACCGATTCTCAACCTGCAAAGCTAAGATCCAAACTCTGGAGGAAAATGATACCACAGCATTATCATCACTAGGTAGGGCGCCAGTTGAACAATAAGCTCATCTCTCTCTTTGTCAACTTTAACATGCAAGTTGCACATGAAAGTGAACACATGACTTTTGATCTGTTCTACCATAAAATACTTGAGAGTTGAGTGTGTTCTATTTACCTTCACATCCTCCAAGGGGCGTGCATAATGATATGCTGATGAATAGAATAGCAAATATGTTCCTGAATATTAGATGTAATTTTTATTAAATATGTGTATGCTAAATCTATTTTGTAGTAATTTTACAAGCCTTTGCTTTAACTGAGATTTAACTGAGATTTGGAGATTTATCTATTTCCTTATCTCCTCCATTCCCTGGTGAATCGAGAATTGATTGTACCTTTTTGTCTAGCTCTTTCCTTGAACTATAAAAGCACTACATTCATTCAACAGTATTTATTGAATAGCTTCAAGGAACTGTGTTACTCATTTTTTTTCTGACAGTGCCTAATACAGTGCCTTGCATAGAGTAAACAATCAATGAATGAATGTTGGTTGAACTGAATGAAATTATTTATTGCATACCTGCGATGTGTAAGGCTCTGTGCTCAGGTCAGTGTGGGACAAAAATAAACACAACACTTGGTTTCTGTTTACATCGTCTCTGTTTCTACTCCACACATCCTCCCTACCCTGACTCCAATGAACAGACATACTGAACTATCTGCAGTTCCACAAGAGTGACTTGCTTTACGGTTTTGGTATTAAGAGCTTGATCCAGAACTAGTGGGATACTGAGCCAAATCCAAACTTGATTTGACTTTATTGCTAGTAGACTATAGTTTCAGTTTTTTCTTTTTGCTTGGAATTAAGAAGCATTGGATGAGGAAAATTGTTTGTTTTTATCCAACATTGAATTGCATTTTCTTTTTGAGCCAGTCATTTGAGACCACAACTTTCTTTTTGTTTTTCATCAGGTAATTCCATTCACTGGCAGTAACTAATGGATTAATATACTGTGTTAATATGGTCAGATTTTAACATATTAACAGTAGCCACATTATTAAAAAGTCAAAAAATAACAGATGGTGAGGTTGCAGAGAAAGAGAACACTAATACACTGTTGGTGGGAGTGTAAATTGGTTCAACTGTTGTGGAAAGCAGTGTGGCAATTCCTCAAAGAGCTGAAAACAGAACTACCATTCAACCCAGCAATCCTTTTACTGAGTATATACCCAAAGGAATATAAATCATTCTATCATAAAGACACATGTATGTATATGCTCCTTGAAACACCCCCTCACAAGAGCCAAGACTTGGAATGAACCTAAATGCCCATCATTGGTAGACTGGACAAAGAAAATATGGTAATATACACCATGGAATACTATGCAGCCATAAAAAGAATGAGATCACATCTTTTGCAGGAACATGGATGGAGCTGGTGGCCATTATCCTCAACAAAGTAATGCAAGGATAGAAAACCAAATACTGCATGTTCTCACTTATAAGTGGGAGCTAAATGATGAGAACACAGGGAAACAAGTGGGAAACAACACACAGTAGGGCCCACCTGAGGGTGGGAGGTGGGAGGAGGAAGAGGATCAGAAAAAAGGAGCTACTGGGTACTAGGTTAAGTACCTGGGTCATGAGATTATCTGTACAAAACTGCTGTGACATGAGTTTACCTATACAACAAACCTGCATATGTACTCCTGAACCTGAAACAAAAGTTTAAAAACCACCACAACGAAAACCAGTAGCTGCATCTTGCTTTTTCTTTCTTTAAAAGATTCACCAGGTGTATACATCAGAGCATCATTTTATTCACAGTGTGTTATGAATTTTCTCCCGGAGCCAAACTGTTTTCCACATCGTGACTTTCATTCTCAATCGCGATTTCCTTAAATATTTTGGCATTGAGCCACAAAAAACTGGTCTTTGGATTTTTCCAGTTGCCTGTATTTTATTTTTATTTCTTGCATTACCTCATTCAAGCTTTCTGTCATTATATTTTCTCCCATTCATAGACAGATTTTGAGATCCATTTTGTTTATACAGCATTTCATCAGCTATTACTATTTCTACTATTATAATTTGTATGATTACTTCTACTGCTGTTATGATTTCTATAGTATTACACTTCAGTTGTTGAGTTCTAATATAAAAAACAGCTTCATTGGTTAGACAAGTTCCTAATCATGGCTGAGATCTGAGTGGTTCTATTTGCGTGTGTGATTTGTCTGCACGTTAGTCAGTGGTGTCCATTTATGACAGAGTTATTTTGTTAGTAACTGCTTTTACAGTGATATAATGTGAGAATATCCATAGTGCAAAATATTTTTGTTATAAGTCCAATAGCAAACTGAGAATGTCCAGTTTTAATGGATTCTGCAAATGAAATGATGCAAAGGGCACCCCTCCCCCATTGACTGCAAATATATAATTATATTTTATTGTTTATACATTTGTGTAAATGAAGATGGAAGATTTGTATTTTAAAGGAGCCCAAAGAACTGTGTGACTTTGAGAAAATCACCTAACTTTTTTGTTTCATTGGGTTATAACGAAATCGAACAAGTTATAATAATGCCTGGTACACAGTAAGCACTCAAAAGTGTTAGCTATTATTATTAAGAAATGAAGCAATTAATGTATTTAGTCAAATATTTGTTGTTTGGAATCCATGTTTGTTGTTGCTGAAGGCACCATTCTATAGGCAAGAGAATGATTCTTATTCTTGTCAAATAAATGCAGTTTTGGTATATTCTGACTGCCAATAACATCTTGAGGGTTTGGAGGGGCACAGTAATGACAGCTGTATTACTGTGGAAAACGTTTTTATTTTTAAATGAGTAAACAGAGGTTCAGAGAAGCCAAATAATCTATTAAGGCGGGACCAGTAGATTCCTCGAGAACTTTTGGCTCATCTTAAACATGTTAGCAGTTTCTTGTTGGCTCAGGCGAAAAGCGAAAGAACAGTCCCAATCAGTGTTTCTCTGCCCTCAAGATCCTGTGTTGTGATCCACTTGTTACAAGTGGAAATTTCCAGAACCCTCTCCGGACCTACCGATTCTCTGAAAGGTTAACCGGCATCTCAGGTGCTTCTTACATAACCTTAATCCGGAGACCCATGACACTCTCAGTAGCCCAGGGAGAGTGTCCTCAGACAGTCCAGCTGGAGCAGACCTCGGCCACCTTCTAGGGTAGGCTGTCCGGGTCACTGAGATGTCACACTTGATGCTTTGCGTGGCCAACAAGCAACTCCCAACGATCTGCCCCCTGAAGGTCCCAAAACCTTCCCTCTGCCATCACTCCAGTTGTGATTGGCAAACGTTGCATTCTTGGGCTGTTTTCCTCAACAGGAGAAAAATAACAGATTTTTGCATGCTCGTGACGGCGGAGCTCAAACCTGGGCCTGTTCCACCTTAAAGGGCCCAGGCCTGCCTAGTGCTTGGGTCTCGCAGCATTTGGGCACCACCATATTTGGAGCGTGCCTACTTCGGGGCGGGAGCCTCCCTGGGGTGATCAGGTCAGTGCTGGGGGAGGTGACCTTGCTGGGTTGCTGGCACCCGAGCACAGCGGTGCACCGTTTCCGCTGCCCCATTTGTCTAACTGGCCCGGACGCTCCAGCAGCGCGAAGCTTCCCGGGAGCTCCTCGTCGGCCGCCCCCGCGGCCCGCAGCCCGGCAGAGGCGGGAAAGCAGCGCGCCTGCGCCGTGGGAACCGGGGCTGGCGGCGCGGAGCGGGGAGCGGAGGGGGCGCGGGAGCCGAGGCGCGTGCAGAGCGGCGTGTGACGCGGGGACGCCGCGCGCGCCCAACGTCGCCCCGGTTTGACGCACACGGCACCAAACTGTGAGTTTCAGGGGTTATTTGGTCAGATTCGCTGGGACCCGAGTGGGTTTCGGGCCTCTGGGCTGTGGCCGCGGCGGGACTGAGGGTGGCGGAAGAACTTGGGGGACCCGGCCTCCGGCGCTCGGGCCCGGGGAGCGACGCCCGAGGCTGGGTCCCAGCCATCCAAAAGGACGCGTTTTGCCGCACAGGCTAAGATGGCGGCGGCGGCCGAGGAGGCGGAGTTGGTGCCACACAAGGAGCCCGGGCCCCGGGTTCGGGGAGGCGGCGGCCGCGGCGGCCGCGGGGGGCCGCGGAGCTTGAGGTGAGCGGCGGCCGCCGCCGCGGGGCGGGACCCGGCGCGGAGATGGGGGGGTGCTTTCCGCTGCGGCGTCGGAGGATCCGGTAGCGGACACAAAGGGGCCGAGCTGGGCGCTAGACTTGGGGGTTTTGTTTAGTCACATGAAGCCGAGCAGCCAGTGAGCAGGAGGGGGAAGGGGCCGAGATCAGGCGGCTTGGGGAGCCTGGCGGTCGCCATTGCAATGCACCGAGTAACGGGGCGGGCCGAGAGCAGTCCCCAGCCCCTCTCGTGGAGGCTGCTCGCTGTGGCCAGAAGCGCCAGCTCTGGCATGAACTGTACACACCCCTCCCCTTACTTGGGACAGGACCGCATAGCCCTTCCCAGCCCAGTCCTGCAAGATCGGATGCGGCTAGGTGCCTGGGGAGTCACAGCAAGAGGTAAATCGCTCGAAGTGTTTGGGTGGCCAGGGTGGCCTGTTGGGTGTCCAGCTAAAGCTTCTTGCCTCTCCAGGTCTGATTCCCTGGCCTTCGTGGCCCGGGGAGCTTACTCTGCCAGAGGAAAGCAGGTGTGCTCCGCTTCTCCCGTGAACCTGAAGATGAGTTGTCCCAGACTCTTCTCAGTGATTGGAAACTTAGGTGGTGGAGCTAAAGGTTTCTTGTTACAAGACTTCTACAGACGACTCTTGTTGGGATCCATCTATGGTGTAGCAACATTAGTGGAAAAGTTTTCTTGAACTGTATAAGTGATATTGACCTGAATATAGTTGTTATAAAACTTCTATTTAGACTTCAGATTCTGTGTGATCACCAGACTCAACGAGTGGATAAACATAATTGGGGGCGAATGATGGTCCTGTCTTGTTAATAATTTCAACAGAAATGTCAAAACACCACCATCTATCCTGTTCAGTCCTGACTAATTCCACGCTTGTTGCATCTGGATGGTAGATTTGCTTTAATTGTGTATTCCCTCCCTGCAGTAGTTTGCTTTAGTTATAAACATTTTTTGGTGCCATAAGAAGGAAAACATTTCAAAAAATAGACAGCTAAAGTTCCTCAAATAAAGGAAACCTGGCTCTCTGCCTTCAGTGACATGTGTAAGTATCTGGGGAACTTGATGACAGTAATACTGCATTTTGGTAGGTTTGCTAAGAAAAAATTAGTGGTTATCACAAGGTTTTTATAACAAGGTTATAATCTAGCTTAGACATTTTAATTGGTTAAACATAAAGCTTGATTAGTATTAATGCGGTGGTATGTATTGCTTGTAAAAGTCTTAGAATTTTGAACAAATTAAAGTTATACTGCAATTATATTTTGTGGTGGGTATTAACTAATGAAGTACATATTTTTGAAACATCTAAAGTTTTGTGTTGGCCATTAACAGAATTCCTTGATTGAAGGGATATTTAAACACGTTAGATGACTGTTTAGATCTCTGTGTAAAATTGAAATTTGGGTTTTTCAACATTACTTAAAACTTTCATTTTCTTGTTTCTTTTCAGATATATACTCTCTCTTTTTTAGCTTTTCTTCTAATACAGAACAGTCTTGTATTAATGATTAGGAGATGCATTAACATTAGCAAAATGTATTCCTGGATGATACAGTTTTACAGTGGAAGGAGTATCAAAGAACAACTGCTCTTAGCCTCCTCTTTTACCATACATTGAGGACCAGAGGATTAAGTTAGTGGCATAGTGGAAAATTGCCTTTCAGCTTCTATCCATTGCTATTTTTGTCATATTGCTGGGACGAGATGAATATCTACAACTAATAATGGTTAAAAAAACAAGGGAATGTTATTGAGCATACTTATTAATTAAATATTATTAGATTCCTGAGAACTGTGGCAGTAAGTTAAAAACTTTCATATTGGCTGTGTGCGGTGGCTCCAGCCTGTAATCCCAGCACTTTGGGAGGCCAAGGCAGGCGGATCATGAGGTCATGAGATTGAGGCCATCCTGGCCAACATGGTGGAACACCCCCCCAACAAAAAAAAAATTAAAAGTTAGCTGGGTGTGGTGGCGTGCCCCTGTAGTCCCAGCTCCTTGGGAGGCTGAGGCAGGAGAATTGCTTGAACCTGGTAGACGGAGGTTGCAGTGAGCTGAGATTGTGCCACTGCACTCCGGCCTGGCGACAGAGCAAGGCTCTGTCTCAAACAATTTTCATATTATATGGTAACTTAGTTTTTAAAGTTACTTCCACTGAAACAAAATCAGGTACAAAGTACAGAAATATCAGATAGTTTGAGAGCATTGTTGCTTTTGAATTTTAAGGTTTTCCAAAAGCAATCTTGAACCAGAAATTGAAAAATTAAAGAACAACCACCAGGTACTTGATAATTTTTTTGGAAAGTTTGAAATAACTGCTGTTATTGCCAGTTATTACATTAAAAAGGAAATGAGATCAATGCTGAAAATAATGGTGCCTTTCATTTTGTATTAGTGTTTTGGTTGGATAAATGGATGTGCCACTCAGAATGTTCTTTTGTTTAAAACAACTTTTTAAGACCACTACTTCTACTGAGTGGTATCTGTAAGGTCTTTCAGGAAATTCAACAAGTAGTGACAGTCATTTATGATGGGACCCTATAGTGATCTTTAACTTCTTTGAATGTCAAACTTAGCAAAAAGTTAAATTGTTTTAAGGTTTTAAAAGTTTTTATTGGTCATTTAAGGTGCTTTTAAGTTGATTTTTGTAAATTGATAAGCTATTTTATAATTTTCAGCGTGTGAGTAGACATATTTTCATTTGGTGATAATTACAGTCACTTTCAGGTTATATGTAGTTATAAAGTAGTCTGTCACCTGCCAACCTTAAACATTTTCCAGTTTTAATTTGTCATTCAAGTTATAAGAGTGAGTGTCTTGGTTGAATTTAGACTGTTAATGAGTAGCAGGAGGGGAAAAGGAAGTTTCAAGGAAAATAGAAGTGGTGGTATATCTCCAATCTAGAGAAGGGTCAGGTCCATTTATTCTGTCATCCTAAATACTGTTCTTTAGGGTTATTTAGGCCATTTTCTTAGGATGTGATTCTGGAAGGAAAAGTGAATCCTATTCTTGTGGAAAGGCTTTTCAGTCAGGTCTTAAGATGATTGTAGCTTGCAGCAAATGTAGAAATTGGCATGTTGAGTTATCTAGCCCTGATTTTATAGAGCACTGGTTTTTGCTGTTTTTTAAAAGCATGTTCTAAATGTTTTACATTAGCAGCCTTGTAAAATAAAACAAGAGAATGAAGAGTGGAAACTGTAATACTATGGATACGTATTCAGATGAACTTCGTATTTACATTTATTTGTTATTAATCTTTCTGGTAGAGAGAATGTCTGTTTTGTAAATGGAAAATCTGTAAATGTTAAAGTTGTAAGGTATAACATTGACTGAAGTAGTTCTAGAAGTGGTGTTTTTGATTAAGGTTTATTAGAGGGAAATATACAGCTGCTGTTAATAGTGCAAGCCATTTAAACCATTGAGTTTTGGGAGATTTGAGAATCATGGAACTGATGCTAGCACTAGCTCACCCTGCTGGTTGGCTGAAAGATTTCTCCTCTTCCCCTTAAAAAACAAACTTGAAGATCACAGGAGACCCAGAGGTAGTAGAACACTAAATTACGTTATTTCTTCAGGGAGAGGAAGTTTCCATGAAAAAGGTATTTTCTTATCTCTAAGGCCTTAGTTTCTGCATTCTAATTTTTATTTTTTTGCAGATCTGCCAAGTTGAACCATGGAGTTACTATCCTTTTTTTTTTCTTTCTTTTTTTTTTTTGGTGGGGGCCAGGAGGACAACAGAGTCTCGCTCTGTCACCTAGACTGGGGTGCAGTGGCACAGTCTCAGCTCACTGTAGCCTCCACCTCCCAGGATCAAGCGATTCTCCTGCTTCAGCCTCCCAAGTAGCTGGGATTGCAGGTGCCCACCACCACACCTGGCTAATTTTTGTATTATGGGATTTCACCATGTTGACCAGGCTGGTCCTGAACTCCTGACCTCAGGTGACCTGCCTGCCTCAGCTTCCCAAAGTGATGGGATTGCAGGAGTGAGGCACCATGCCAGTCAGGAGTTGCTGTCCTTTTTAAACTTCCTGAGAAGTCTCATGTGATTATGGAGAGTTAGTATATTTTTATTCTTTTAATTTCAAGGTAAGAAATTCTTTGACAGTTGAGAGATGTTAGGAAGAAAAACAGAAAGTCCTGTGAAAATAACTTTCCAGGAGGGGAAAAACAGGATTTCAAGAGGAATAGGCGGAGGAGCCTGCCTGGGCAGAAGCAGCAGCAGTACACATATCTCTTGGTTGGGGGAAAGTGAGACTGGATTATGGTTTGCATTTCTGAGAGATTTTCTTTCCACTCTCCTACTAATCTTGGCCCTACCCCTCCTATCTGCTAGCTGTAGCCTTCCCATTTTGTTTGGAGTCTTTGGAACTGGGTTCTTGTAAGTAAAAATAAAGATAAGTGATTTGTTCCTTGGAACCTAATTCTGGTAGCCTAGATTTTGGTAGAATTGAAGTTGGGTTAGAGTGATAAATGCAGATTTTATGTGTTGGCCTTTTGGTATGTGTATCTTATTTTAAGTTGAAAATACAGCTTTTAAAAGACTTTGTACAGGAAGGGCGTGTTGGCTCACATCTGTAATCCGAGCACTTTGGGAGGCCGAGATGGGTGGATCACTTGAGGTTAGGAGTTTGAAACCAGCCTGGCCAACATGGTGAAACCCCATCTCTACCAAAAATACAAAAATTAGCCAGGTGTGGTGGTGCACACTAGTAGTCCCAGCTACTTGGGAGGCTGAGGCAGGAAAATTGCTTGAACCTGGGAGGCAAAGGCTTCAGTGAGCCGAGATACTGTGCCACTGCACTCTAGCCTGGGTGACAGAGTGAGAACCTGTCTCAAAAAACAAACAAACAAACAAAAAACACTTTGTACAAACTCTAGAAACATAAATGTGTCATGAGCCAAATAGACAATTGAAAATAAAAAATATCTAATAAAGTGTTAAGATTAAAATTCTTTACAGTTTACAAAGCAT